CAATTCCCCAATTTTTATATTTTGAGAATTATTTATATAATTACATCGGTCAATTCTTCCTGGACATTAAAAACTAGTAATCAATCCGTCAGTTGCTTTAAATTCTCAAAATTACAAAATGAAACATTTACTGTTGATTCAACATTATAATAACAAAACCTGGATTTTGATGAAATACAGTTAGAAATGTTTGTTTTTGAAAGTGATCCAAAACCATATTTGGTAAATCATACATGCTGAACTATTTCCTCCATTACAAATTGATCCTTGGAGGATTGTACTGTTGATTTTCCTTTGAAATGAAGAAATTGGCCATATACAGTAGATTTACTTTCAAATGAACAGAATTTATCAATAATAATGGCAGTATTATTAGAATTTTCAATATATACTGTACCTGGACCTTTTGAAAAAACGTTTTCGCAAAGTAAAATCGAGTAATCATTTGTATTTTCGAATTTAACTGCTCTATCTTGTAAGTTGATAAATTTACAGATGTATGCAAAGCATTTGTCTTCTGTTGCAGTGACTTGTTGGTTTTCACCTGTAATGACTGAAGAAGGAGGATCAATTCCTTCATAATAAAGACGCCAAATACTATTTGTAACTTCTTCACAATGAACATGTTTTCTAAAAGCAATTAATTTGAACTTGGTTTAGAGCCAAAAAGACTCCCGAATTAAATTTTAAAAATGAAAGGGGGTAACACCATATTGAACTTCCTTCCTATAATTCAAAATTAAAATTAATTTCAAGTACTAATTTTGAATGTTTGAATCATTCTATATTATCAGCAAAACAGCGGAGTTGAATTACAATATGGGCAATAACTTTTGAATAGAATATTCTTGATAAAGTGAAATGGGAGTGAATTTATATTAAGAATATAGGTTTTGCACAATCAAACTATATGAAATGGTTTAAATTTGGAGATTTCTGTAAGACAATATATTTTTTATAGAAGTTCATATAGAAAAATCAAATGTAAATTTTTATTCAATAAGAAAATTTAAACTTCTTCACCTACATCAGTATTTGTTGTTGATGATTTGTATTTTCGGATAACAATAAATGCAATAATAAATATTGCAATTTCAATAATAATACCAATGACGATTCCAGAAATTGCACCAGCTGGAGCTTTATTACTAGAACTATTCTTCTGATTATCAGTACCTGAAGTTTCATTCGATGTTTGTGTTTTTGGTAACCATAATGGCTTCAAATTTCCATTATCATACTGAGGATAGCCTTCATTTGATATCTTTGGATCATCAAATTTAAAATCAGAAAGTTCGATCCTTCCGTCAATTAATAAAATGTTAATATAGTTTGTATGACTACATGAATAAATCTCTGATTCCTTTAAATCTTCTGATAGTAATAATTCATTGTTATTATTTTTACAATAAATATGACTCCTAGACTTACTTTGTGGTCCTATATAATATCTTACTTTCACTGAAAACGGTGAGTAAGAATAGATATATTGATTTGTATTAGAAGACTCAAAATAATATGCTGATTGCATTTCGGAAATTGTGTTAACTGAATAATTATATTTGGAAGACCAAAATGATTTCTTTATGAAGAAAACTAATATATTTTGTGGTCCATTTGTTGATGAAAGAATCGATGAATCATCTGTGTAATTATCTTCGCGTTTGATCCTGCAACATTTGACATAACAACAATCTGTTCGCATTTTGTCATACAAATGACTTTTATCATTGTTGAATCAATTTTAAGTGTTTTAGTTCATCTGAAAAAATGACTTCAACTTTTTTAGCATCTTTAAATGCAGGAAGACAACCATCAACATCAATATTCCTGATATTTCATATTCAACACTTTTTTCCATATCAATATGAACACAAGTCCCATAATTTTCATGGATATCAGTAAAATATAGATTTCCTTGATAGTAACCATAACTTGATTGACTAATTCTTTTTACATAATGTGTTGGTTTATTTGCATAAGCAATTATTAAATGTGAGTTTGTTAATTGTGGCAATTCATAAGTAAAATCTTTAACATTGATAACTACACTTACATGCATATCAGATGAATAACGTTCTGAAATTCCATTATATTGAAGAACTAAATTTGGCTGGCGACCTTTTATTCTAAGTAAAATTGATTTTTCATATTCATGTTCATTTTCATTTATTAATGAATAAACAGGCTTCAAAGGTTCTCCATTTTCGAGCATAAACATATTTGCATTTCTGAATACAGCAATTGTTATATATGAAGACCAAGCCCTAATTTGAATTGTTTTTACTTCATCGTTTGTAAATTGAAGAGTTAATTCATCATCAGATACATATGGAGGCAATACAGCATCAATTTGTCTGATATCTCTTGCTTCATTCATTTTATTTGTTGATTTAATTTTTTGTTTATGCATACCCCGAGACGGATTTATTGAATGCAGTATCCGTGTATAATTTTCTTCGATCGATGACGAATGATGAAATAGTAGGTGAAGCATCAAAAAATTTTAAAATACGTGATTATATCAAAATTCTGAAGGCCGTTATAATTGAAAACTACAATCTATAAATTAATGAAATTATAATGAAGAATGCTTTTATAAATATTTTTCAGATTCAGATTCAGATTTTAAAGGAATTTACGATATCGTATCGTAAAACTGGAATTCGGATCAAAGAAAAAAAAAAATTGAGTTTATCTTAGATCATAAGGAATAATTTTATTATTCAGATGATGAAAATATCTATATTAACGAAGCAAAGAGAAATGTTCACATACTTATGTTCATAAGGCGTTAATCTTTACGAATCAAATTGAGCTTACATTTAATAGGAGATTATATCAAATCAGCTAGTCAATCTTATAAGTATGTATCAAAATGTTTTCCAATCATCACAATTCGCGATATTTGGACTACGTTGAATCTTAAATCAGGAAAAGTTTACTTCAAAGCTTGCGTATGTGAGAAACCAAACTACAAAAGATTATAGACTCTCAAAATAATCATAAACAAGAATTGCACAGGTCTTACAGATTTTTATGTTTCTCCGATGTTCAATGGCAATCCAAAACACCATTCCCAGATTTCATACCGATCGTCCCTACAGAAACATCTTAAAGTGTCATTTGCTGATTCAATTTTATCATGTTGAAGAAAATTCTAAGATCAAAGAGAAAGCGATCGATACAGCAGTTATTCCATTAAGTTGCATCTCAGGTAATAACAATACATCTGTAGAAGTCGAGCTTTTCTCAGAAGCAGGCAAAGTTTCTAAAGATGCCAACGTAACTCTGCAAACTCCAAAGAAATCAGAAGGTTTGTCATTACAGATCACTATCCCTCCATTCTACTTCCCTCCTCAAAACACGGCTACCGCATTGACTGATAATTTCGATATTCCAAGTTTGTCTGGAATTGACGAGTCATATGCTGATCTTTACATCCCTCTTTTCTGCCGACTTATTAAGAAGCGCGATTCTAAAGTTCTCCCAACATTGGTTAAATTATTGATCACATTTGGCGATGGCGGTAGAACATCACTTCGAAAGTGGTTGTTCAATCATTTCGATCCACAAACAATTGGTGATGACTTCCCAACATTCTATCAGAAGCGATTAAAGTATAGGGTGTCCAAAGGTGCGTTTAGCACAGCGCTCTATATGAGACTATTAAAGGAGATATATGCTGATTATAAATATATAATAAAAAATATGAATATATGTATATGATGAGTATGTTGTATTTTGGCGCCATGCCGGGATATAAAATGAATTTTGAGACAGGAGGCGGTTTCGCGGGAAATTTTGGCGGGATTTTTTCATTTTTTTAATGAATCATAAAGAAAACATCCTCGCTCTTGCAAAAAAATGCAAAGACTGTAAAAAATCTACGAGATATTGGTAAAATGCTTCGGTATGGATGCTCCTAGCTATTCCACTGTAATGTATCATGTTAGGATGTATCACTTCATGAACAAAAAGGCGCCCATCATAAAAATTGACAAAAATCGCCGGATCAAAGAAAAATCAAAGCAATTCTTCAAGCGCTAGATGAAGACCCAAGAGCATCACTCAGAAGGATAGAGGAGATGACAAAGATACCACGTACAACAGTCAGTTATTATCTGCACAATTATTTGAACTACAAACTAGCGTATACACGTTGGGTTCCGCACAACCTTAATTCAGTTCAAAAAAATCTAGAGTCCAATCTTCGAAAGAGCTCCTCTCTATATTGGGTGCGTATCAATCCAAGAAGTTTCGCTTTTTAGTAACAGGGGACGAGTCTTGTTTCAATATGCAACAGAAGCCAAAATCATGTGGATCCCGAAGGATGAAAATCCGCAAACATTCCCGAAGAAAAAAATTGACACACCAATGATGATGTTGTCGGTTTTTTGGGGCGTGAATGGCATCATCAATTGATATTCTTCAAAACCTAATACGATGAATGCTCAGTATCTAATTGACAATGTTCTTACTCAAATTATCAATTCTGATGAGTTGAGAAATCCAAACAACAAAAACAAAAGTTTGCAATTCATTTTGATAATTCAAGAGTTCACAAAAGTCATAAGGTAATGAATTACTTGGTGGAAAACAATGTCAAAGTTGTTCCAAACCCAATTTATTCACCTGATATTGCACCCTGACTTTTATTTATTCGGCACGCTAAAAAAGAGAGCTGAAGGACGCGAATTCGCGAGTCCAGATGATCTTGAAAATTTGTAAGAGAGCAATTTGAGCAATTTTCTCATGATGATTTAAAGCGTGTCTTTGAAGCCTGGATCGATCGCTGCGAACGCGTGATTGAATCCAATGGTGATTATATTTAAATAAACTTTATATATATGTAACTTGTTATTTCTATTCGCAGTATTCAGGTTTGTGCTAAACACACCTTTGGACACCCTATATTTTGTCATGAAATCATTGAAGGAAAGATCGAAACAACAATCATTCCAGACTTTTCAACATCTTTACCACTTATTCTTGACATTATGCAGATTGTTTTCTCCGATGGCAAACTTCAATCAACAGCTCAAGACTTAATTACAATTAACAACTCACTTCTTGACTTGATTTGCTTCTTATTGACTAAGGATATTGATTGCAATTCCATTACAGAGTCATTGGGACTCTTCTTCTTCCATAATCTTTCAGATCTTGGAAATGAAGAAATCGTACGATTCGTTTACACATTCCTTCGAACTATATCTAAGGTCAGACCCATAATTGCACATCCAATGTCTGCTACACGAGTTCAATGGATTTTCTTATCTCCATTATCTCTTTCTAAGCACTTCTTGATCAACATGACTAACAACATGAAACCATTATCAACGAACGCTATGTATTCACCTTATTCTAAACTTACATCACAATTTTTGTTGTCGACACAACAATGTTTTGGCGGTCGTGATCCAGACACATTTGCACTTTGTGCAGGCTTTTTAGCTCGATTGTTATCTAACTTAGATGAGATTTGTTATAGTATTCGACAACGAATCGCATTTGCTTTATTCCCTCTTATTGATTTATGTTCTAATCATTTTGAATCCCCATTATTTATGTCTAACAAACGAATGCAAATTGCATTGATTCCATTTGTTTTATTCTTAATCAAGAACAGTGAACAGAAGCAGTTATTATCATTCTTCCATTCATTATCTATCTCATTCAAGTGTCATTTCATTTCATTCCTTAAATTGACCGGAAAAATCATCATTGACACATTGGATGTCATCAAACCAACATATGAATGTCCACAAATTAACTTGAATCTTCTTGATTTGCTGACACATATTTACATCAAATTTTTGTTTGACGTCAAATCAGAATTAGGTGTTTGCATGAACGAAGTCATCCAGTTAATTGAAGTTTTGTTGTGTCGATACCAACCAACAGATAACTACAAGTATTTGTATTTACTTTGTGATTCATTATTCGAATCATATCCATTAGAACGAAATTTCATCATCATGTCTACTAAATTAATTATGTACAAACAAGCAAAATCACGTGCATTGAGTACCGCATTGATTATTAACAGTTTCAAACAAGATTACAATCGATATGAACAAGTTAATGTTTCCACACTTTCATTCATTGATGAATACGCAACAATTCTTTTAGAAAACAAAGTTTCAATGATTCCTATGTTTAAAGAATATATTTTGATAATTAAAGAACTTACACCAGACAATAAATCACTTAAAAAGAAAGTTAGTGATCGAATGGATTCTGCTTTATCCATTGCAGATATTGTTGAAAAACAGAAATCATCAAAACAAGCATTGTCCATTCGTTGTCAACAATTAATGTCATTGGCTGATGAAAACATGGACTTTCCAAACATGCGCTTAAAGTGGTTGAGTGAATTAGTTCGTATCAATATCGAATCCGGTGATTATATCTCAGCGTTTGTTTCACAATTACATTGTACATGTTTAATTGCTACGGTTGTTGAACATCGTTCTAAACATGAAAAACTCGAAAATAAAAAGAAGAACGAACGATTGCCTAAACCACCCGGTTTCCATTTATCAACGACACAACCAATCAGAACGGCAAACAATGTCTATGATTACGGCGATCTAGAACATATCAAGAATTCTTCTTCATTCCTTCAGTTCAAGTCGAAACTAAAGTTAAAGTTGATGCAGGAATGCCGATGCCGAAATTTTGTTGTCTGATTTTAATGAAAATCTTTTGATTGAATATTTGAATTCATCTGTTTGGTTATGCGAAGAAGCACAGTTATATTATACATTGCGCGGTTTGTCATCAATGGCATTACGTGTTCTTTATCAGAACCGCGATTACGGCCGGTCTAAAGAAATCTGTTCTAAATTGTCCAATTATTTGTCTAGTATTTCTACAGGAAACACAGTTGGTGTCAGTGTTCCATTGTCATTCTTCATGGTAGAAAAAGACAAGGCGGCAAGAAAGATCAACGAATATACTGCTGCAAGAAGACGGAAACAATCCATTTTGTTCAACAACTGAAGAATCGGGAAGGAATTGTTTGTCCAACAGATTATTGCGATCATCATGAGGAATGCAAAGGTGATGGTATTTGTTTGATCCAATTAGAGCCATCGGATAAAATCGAAGGTGATGAAGCTCCACATTCATGGGATAAGTTCCGATCAGTTGTTTCTATCAATAAACAATCACAGAAATCATCTGAAGAACTGAAGAATCCTATTAAAACTCTTTACATCGAAACATCAGAAAAATTACCATTTTATCATCAAGGTGTTTCTATCAAGAAGATCGAGATCCAGGAAGTTCGTGTTAAAGAATTATGTGTTAATACATTGAACCGAGCATTCACATCTCTTGATCAACTTGTGAAAGACTTCGATCCATATCTTTCTATGCCCATTGGTGCATTCAAGGATTCACCAATGGTTATTTTCGGAAAAGATCTTTGTCGATACAAAGAAATGCTTTATACAACATTGCAACATCCTAACTGTGCACGTGACTGTTTGAGTTTTATCAAACAAAAGTATCCAGAACTTCTTGAAGAAAACGTTTCTAAGTTCTCAGAATGTCTTGTTAAAGCACTTAAACAACATCGAAGAGCAGTGAACGAACTTTTGATTGAATTTGAATCCGGTGACGAAATCGATAAAATCAAATCCGATCTGGATGATTGCACAGAAATGATCAACAAGTTCTGCAAAGACTTCGAAGTTGATATGATTGACGATCAAACAGTTTATGAAGGTATTGTTGATCCAATGTCATCATTTTGTGCATATGAAAATGAGTATGATTAAAAACATAATATTTTTTTTAATATTTTAAAGTTTATTATAATGTGTTAAAAGATCACTGCCTTAGTTTACAACTTAACACCCGAAGATATTTTTCTCCTATGAAAGAATTGATATTTTTGGATTTATCTCTAAAATACAAACTACGCCAGACTTTCAAAATCATCCCTTTAATTTAGAATTAATTCCCAAGACTACTATAAACAGAATTTAATAATTTTTACAATATTTCTATTGGTTTACAACATTATACATGAAGTTACCATTGACTATGATCGAATTGATATCATTATTATTTCTATATTTTTCTCGTTATTTGTTTAAAAATGCAGAAGATATGAAAAATTATTAATTTTTATCGTTTAGTAATAACAAAATAGAAATATGATATTTACCAAAAAGAAAATTCATGATGGACATTGAACAAATTTTATTTTCTTTCTTTGTAAATAATATTATTTCAAGATTTCCTTCACATGGACTTAAATCAATGAATTTTAAATTATTCTTAAATGAAACTTCTTTCCTTTTTCTGATATCAACTCCAGATGATAAAATCAATACTACATCGATAGATATAAATCTGCCATCCAACCTGCTTCAAATAATTTTCCTTTGTTAATCTCAGGATTGTTTTGGAAAGATGAATCGAAAATATCAAGTCTATAAAAAAATAAACAATTCCCAATTTTATATTTGAGAATTATTTATATAATTACATCGGTCAATTCTTCCTGGACATTAAAAATAGTAATCAATCCGTCAGTTGCGTTTAAATTCTCAAAATTACAAAATGAAACATTTACTGTTGATTCAACATAAGCATAACAAAAACCTGGATTTTGATATGTAATACAGTTAGAAATGTTTGTTTTTGAAAGTGATCCAAAACCATATTTGGAAATCATACATGCTGAACTATTCCTCCATTACAAATTGATCCTTGGAGGATTGTACTGTTGATTTTTCCTTTGAAATGAAGAAATTGGCCATACAGTAGATTTACTTTCAAATGAACAGAATTTATCAATAATAATGGCAGTATTATTAGAATTTTCAATATATACTGTACCTGGACCTTTTGAAAAAACGTTTTCGCAAAGTAAAATCGAGTAATCATTTGTATTTTCGAATTTAACTGCTCTATCTTGTAGCTTAATGAACTTACAGATGTATGCAAAGCATTTGTCTTCTGTTGCAGTGACTTGTTGGTTTTCACCTGTAATGACTGAAGAAGGAGGATCAATTCCTTCATAATAAAGACGCCAAATACTATTTGTAACTTCTTCACAATGAACATGTTTTCTAAAAGCAATTAATTTGAACTTGGTTTAGAGCCAAAAAGACTCCCGAATTAAATTTTAAAAATGAAAGGGGGTAACACCATATTGAACTTCCTTCCTATAATTCAAAATTAAAATTAATTTCAAGTACTAATTTTGAATGTTTGAATCATTCTATATTATCAGCAAAACAGCGGAGTTGAATTACAATATGGGCAATAACTTTTGAATAGAATATTCTTGATAAAGTGAAATGGGAGTGAATTTATATTAAGAATATAGGTTTTGCACAATCAAACTATATGAAATGGTTTAAATTTGGAGATTTCTGTAAGACAATATATTTTTTATAGAAGTTCATATAGAAAAATCAAATGTAAATTTTTATTCAATAAGAAAATTTAAACTTCTTCACCTACATCAGTATTTGTTGTTGATGATTTGTATTTTCGGATAACAATAAATGCAATAATAAATATTGCAATTTCAATAATAATACCAATGACGATTCCAGAAATTGCACCAGCTGGAGCTTTATTACTAGAACTATTCTTCTGATTATCAGTACCTGAAGTTTCATTCGATGTTTGTGTTTTTGGTAACCATAATGGTTCAAATTTCCATTATCATACTGAGGATAGCCTTCATTTGATATCTTTGGATCATCAAATTTAAAATCAGAAAGTTCGATCCTTCCGTCAATTAATAAAATGTTAATATAGTTTGTATGACTACATGAATAAATCTCTGATTCCTTTAAATCTTCTGATAGTAATAATTCATTGTTATTATTTTTACAATAAATATGACTCCTAGACTTACTTTGTGGTCCTATATAATATCTTACTTTCACTGAAAACGGTGAATAAGAATAGATATATTGATTTGTATTAGAAGACTCAAAATAATATGCTGATTGCATTTCGGAAATTGTGTTAACTGAATAATTATATTTGGAAGACCAAAATGATTTCTTTATGAAGAAAACTAATATATTTTGTGGTCCATTTGTTGATGAAAGAATCGATGAATCATCTGTGTAATTATCTTCGCGTTTGATTCCTTCAACATTTGACATAACAACAATCTGTTCGCATTTTGTCATACAAATGACTTTTATCGGTGTTGAATCAATTTTAAGTGTTTTTAGTTCATCTGAAAAAATGACTTCAACTTTTTTAGCATCTTTAAATGCAGGAAGACAACCATCAACATCAAATATTCCTGATATTTCATATTCAACACTTTTTTCCATATCAATATGAACACAAGTCCCATAATTTTCATGGATATCAGTAAAATATAGATTTCCTTGATAGTAACCATAACTTGATTGACTAATTCTTTTACATAATGTGTTGGTTTATTTGCATAAGCAATTATTAAATGTGAGTTTGTTAATTGTGGCAATTCATAAGTAAAATCTTTAACATTGATAACTACACTTACATGCATATCAGATGAATAACGTTCTGAAATTCCATTATATTGAAGAACTAAATTTGGCTGGCGACCTTTTATTCTAAGTAAAATTGATTTTTCATATTCATGTTCATTTTCATTTATTAATGAATAAACAGGCTTCAAAGGTTCTCCATTTTCGAGCATAAACATATTTGCATTTCTGAATACAGCAATTGTT